AAAAAAAAAAAAAAAAAAAAAATCATTTTGAAGATTATATAAAGCAGAAATTGTAAATCTAACTAATCCAAAGAATAACAAGAAAACAGGGAAAAAAGAGAAAAATAAAATAAAATAAAAAAATTGTACCTTATTTCCTCTCTCAATGTATTTGACTGCATATAGTTCACCACTTACTTTATCTCTAACAAGCTTAGCCACACCAAAGTTACCAGAACCTATGTCTTTCAATATCTCATATCTTTCCATTTTTTATCACATCAAACTTACCCACAAAAAAAAAAAGGGCTGTCTTTTACCAACACAAGTCTGTGTAGGAGGCAGAGGGCACTTGCAGACTGCAGTTTCCCCTTTTCAATGTAATTTACAGGGCAATAAAAGAGGCAAAGCTTATTAGCTTTGTTTTACAACTATTTGCATGAAAACAGAGTTGAGTTGTTTGTGTGTTGTGTGTGTTCATAGCATCTCTATATTAGGGGAGCTTTTGTCAATGGCTTGAAAACTTGAAACTCTCTTATGTTAGGTTTGTGGATGCATCATTTATGTATATTTGACATAGATATATATATACACAAATACATGTCATGCTTCGTAATCCATAATCTTTGTTTGGTTTGGAGTTCTATAATTAGGGGAAATGCTACGGTGCAGTTACGGAACCATTCTGTCGGTGTTTGTAACTGTTAGGTCAACTATCCCGACGGTTACATGATGTTACAAAATTCGACAGAATTGTTATATAACGGGACTGTAGCATCTCTCACTAATTAAATATAAACATATATTTATGCCACTTTTAAAATTATAAAATTATGGAGCAACTTAAACTACAAATTTATTTTAAAAGTTAATAAATTTCATATTTGTTGTCAGATTTTTATGTACAGTATATCAAATTAATTGTCTCGTAACGAGCTTCGATTGGATATTCATATTGCATGTATAAATAAATATGTATTTTTATCTTTATAATAAACAGTGAGTTATTTTTATATATCAATACTAATTAAAAACGATAAATTATTTATCAATTAAACAAATATGGCTATTAAATTCGTTGTATATTGTGACTTAAAAAAGTACCAAGTGATAAATCCTCCCTATATATAATTTCCGAATGCGCTGAGCCTACGTGGCTGCTTTTGGTGCTTCGGAATCTTATTTGGCGTAGAATCATGCTTCGTAGTTAGTTTTGGACAAATATATTATATTTTAATAATTAATAATCTAGGTTCGGACATTTCATATATATTATTTAGCTAAATTAGGTATTTTGATATCAATTCTACTAATATAACCCTTTAATTATTTGTAATTTTAGATAATGAGTCACTATGTGACTAATATATCCCTGCCTTTTGATTTGTTTCCTACAATTAGCTATTGAATTGTACAAAAATTCTATGGAGCAATCGGATTGTTTTCTTATGGAGCCATCCATTGCTTAATATATTTACACTCGTCTAAATTGTATTTATTGTAAGACACGAGTCAATACACTATTGGTGAATAAGTGTGGATTGCTCCATAAACCGAGCCATCTGATTGCTCCATAGCAAATCTGTTGAATTGTAAATGTATTTTAAAAGTTGATAACTTTTGTATTTCTTATCGGTTTACATATATAATATATTAAATTAATCATCTTTTGATGATTTTCGATTTGACAGCCATATTGTATATATAAAATAAATAAATTGTATTTATCTTTATAATAATAAAAAACAATAATATTGACTAAAAATCGTTAGAAAAATAAAATTATTTCTCAATTGATATACTTATGTTTAATGTAGTTATATGTTGTAAGTTAAAAAATTATTATAATATAACACAAGTAAGTCGCACAAATAAAAAGTGTCATACTAAATATAATAATATTAATATTTCTAAAAGGTACTTAAATTTTCAAATACCTTTTTTAAATAATTTTAGATTTTAAGAAAAAAAATTAGCAAGCACCCGTGTAATACACGGGCGTTGTACTAGTGTTATCTTAAATATAAATAATGATCTAAGTTTGTTAGAATGATTTAAAATGCAAAATAACAATGTCCCTTTATACATATACACGTGTAATTTGGAGTAACCTATGTAGATTCGTATTCAATCAATACAAAATAACAATGTCTTTATACATATACACATGTGTAATTTGGAGTAACCTATGTAGATTCGTATATTCAATCAAATATTAGCACATTTAAATTATAAATTAATTGACTAATGTATGTATGATATTTAAAATTTAATAATATAATTTTTTATCAGATTTTTGTAATATACCAAATGAAGAAATTTATGTTCTTTATCATAAAATCAATTCATTTTTTAATACTAATTAAAATTAATAAAATTATATACCAATTCAAAAAAAAAAGTACTTATAAGTTCATTAAATATGAAATAGAAATTATTATAATATAAGAACGGATAATCGCACAAGTGAAATATATCATTTAAAAAAAATAATAATGTAATTTCTTAAAAATTATTTAAAATTTAAATAAAAAAATCACCTCTTAAGTGTATTTTAAGAATTTTTGTATAAATTTTTTTAACCAACACCCGTGGCGTGTAATCACGGGTGTTGTAGTAGTACTTTATTACATAAAAATCCACGGTTATTTGAATTAATCTACTGTACATATGCGGGTATATATATGCTCGAGAAAATATGATGATTTTGGTATAGTATAAAATTAAATTAAAATATACTCAAGCCTAATAACGAAACATATAATTTTACCACATAGGATCCAAAGAATACGAGTCTGCAGTTAAGCTCAACAAATTAATATACATGGGTATTGAATTATTGCTAACATACACAAATGTTAGCATTAGCAATTAACGAATAAAGCATCACACAAGTTTGATCAAAATTGTGTGAAATGTCATTAAATGTCAAAGAGGTCCCCTGTAGGCTACTGTTCCATCCCCCTAACATCACACCAATCTGTTTGGACATAGAATGCGCGACGATACGTGGCATGATTCTAGTGGCTGGAGTGTTGTACCCAATATTTGACTTGGTGAAATTTCAAGTATTTTATTCATTAAAAATTGTAATCTGACTTTCACCCTACAAGATATTAATATACATGCAAAAACTACACTCTCGTTACGGAATCATTTTGTTGGAGTTTGTAACCGTTAGATCATCAGATAACTGTCGAAGATAGTTAATCTAACGGTTACAAATCCCCGGTACTTAATATGGACCATCAGATGACTCAACTTATGGAGTCATCCACATTTATTCACCAATAATGTATCAACATGTGTCCTACAATAAACACAATTTAGACTGGTGTCAATATATTAAGTGATGGATAGGGGTGAGCATCGGTGCGGTTCGGTCAAAAACCGCACCGCACCGAAAAAAACCAAAAACCGAATTTTTAAATTTTTTTCACCGAACCGCACCGTCATAGAAGGAAAAACCGAACCGCACACCGAACCGAAATTTTCGGTTCGGTGCGGTTCGGTTTTTCGGTTAGCCGAAATTAAAAAATATAACCACCAATTAATATTATGTAAGTAAAATTATAAAAATTAAGGTGATATTTTATTGAAAAAAAAAAAAGTGACATTTTATGAAATTCGGTGCAGTTCGGTTAAAACCGCACCAATCGGACAGAAAACCGAACCGCACCGAAATACTTGCGGTTTTTCAAAATCCAAACTGCACCGATAACCGAACTTACCAAAAACCGCACCGAACTGCACTAAATAGCTCGGTTCGGTGCGATTTTTCGATTTCGGCTCGATTTTGCTCACTCCTAGTGATGGATGACTCAACAAGAAAACTGTCCGATGACTTTATAGAATTTTTGTACAAACATTATCTGACAAAATAATTCCATATATTGGGATCGCTAACATTTCCATAATATATATTCATTTGTTTTAGGGATTTCAACGTTTGACAACCTGGAAGTCGTTTAGAGTCGTTAATTTATTACCACTTTTAAATTAGATGATAAGTGGGCACGCACTGTACCGAAAATGGAATAGCAATTATGGTGTTATTATTGTATGCTTTCGCGTTGACTAAACTGACCAATTAAATTCTTGCTTGGGACAAATGAACACTTGCTAAATTTTTCTTGTTTATTATTCAAATAGGTGCTTGTTTGATGGTTAAGATGAGAAAATCAACTTAATGGAAGGCAATAATTCCATGTTTCCAAGTAGTTAAAATTCCTACATTTCAGTAGTTTATTAATTTTGGAGAGTGATGGTAATATGAGGTGTCAATATAACTATAATTTAATAAGCCATATTATCATCATTTGCCCTATGGTAGAATAGTATTTTTTTTTTTTAAAAAAAATATATATATATATATATATATATATATAAATTAGGTCATGCAATCCAGATTTTGGATAAGCGCCTACGCACTAACTCGTTGACGTGAATCTGTTAGTTAACCGATTTATGAGTTTCAGGTCGATCAGGTATATGTTTGAATCGACATGTTTGATTTATTAACAATTGACATCTTTGCGATCGGGTTTTAAACTCACAAACTCTTTGATGCATAGATACACCTCAACATACTTAAATACAAGTTTTCTTTTATGTTGGTCGTTTAAGCTAGCTAGTTTATAATCTAGTTAGATTTTTTGTCGAAATACATTTTTTTAGGATGATTTGTCAAAGTTGGCTTACCATGCATGCACTAATTCGGTTGTTTTTACAGTAATCTTTTTTTTTTTTTTTTTCTCTCAATAAATTTTATATCATCATCTGAAATATAGCAAAAATACTACTCATACAAACTCCTTATTTATTTAAAATTACTCCCCATTTAAGTAAAATAAGATGTCACAAATTTGCAAGTAGCTGTTTTTGCCATGCTTGACTTGAATAATGCAAAATCATCATAGCCCAAACAAAAATGACTGTCCATTGTAAACCACTATCTCTTGGTTGATTCTTTTAACTTAGAGCTTATTGCTCTGGTGGGACAAAAGTTCAACATCCAACACAAACTACAGTTGCTACATTGGTTACTAGAAAGGTAAAAATGCAAATAAAAGAGGAAAAAAACAAATAAATTTTACTTCCTTTCTTTTATTACAAAATATATGCAAAATGCTTCTACTCCTAACTAATGACACTTAGTGGTACTAAGTTTGCTTTTTTTTTTTTTTTTTTTT